AGACACACAGGCATTTGAGACCCACAGTATTGAACCAACCCCAGCCAAACTGCTCATTTTAAATGCAATACTGTATTTTAAAAATACACAAAAACACCTTTAAAAAAAAGTGGAGAAGTAAGAGAAACTGTATTTTAAATCATGGTTCACATGTGATTGTAAATATCTATTACCAGGGGACTATTTATAAACATATATACTTATATATGTATTTATATATTCTACATTAGATATAGAATGGTCTCTAAGGTACACTGAACAGGTTATGCGGTAGGTAAGCTAGCATTTGTATTTAAAGGAAAGTACAGAGACACACATGTCAACTCTTAGCTCTACTCATCAGGATCAGCTGTGGTCCTGTCCATGCACATGCGTCGTGTGAACACACATACACAAATACTGCATATAAACGTATGTGTGCCACACAGTGTACCTCTTTGCTGGGGACGGAAACCGGCAGTTAAGTATTACGGGGAGAAGGAAACCTGGTTTTCACCGTACCATCTCTTGTATCTTTTGAACCTTATGTTTGTATAAACTTTCACTTAAAACACAGCCCACAGCCTTCAATGCATGGACCGCAGAGTATTTAACATAAGCCAAATCAGAACACATGATTTTGAGATTTTGAGATTTTAGTTCCAAACTAAAGTCCTGCTTAGTGTCAGTATAATCAACTATTCTGAAAAAGAAAGACTTTCACAAACATTTGGGGTGGTATTTACACAATGTTACAACTGCCAAAACTCATCCAACTGAATATTTAAGATCTATACATTTTATTGCATGTTCATGGTGCCTCAATTAAAAAATACACAGAACTTCCCTTATTTACATAAAAGTAAGGTGGTTAACAGCTCTCGACCTTTTATTTAGCACATTAGAAAATTACAGGACTTAGGAACCCAAGCCTTTCCAGTTGCTTGCTGACTCACATCTAGCAGAATCAGCACACCTGGGGACCTGGGAGGACTCCCAGCCTCAAGCCTCCTCCCAGATCTTCTGGGCCGGAACCTGTACTTTAACAGGATCCCCAAGGGATTTATGTGCAGATTAAAGTCTGAGAAGCTCTGATAACATACTTACTAGAATATTTGTGGTAGGAACCCCAAAAGCTTTACTTTTAAAAAGCTCTACAGATATACAATGAAGATAATCACAATATACATACTTTGCCTTGAGGGGGAAGAGATGGTTCTTTTTTCAAAACTAGTTTGCATAGCAAAATATCCTAATAAACTCCAAATACTCACCAACAATCCTTAGTAGCTGCTTGATTAGGTAACTGCTTCTCTGCTACTGTGTCTGCAAGAGGACTTTAGCTACCCTGACACTCTGAGTCATGTTATCTGCTAGCAAAGCATGCATATGCTTACTTTGTACATGTGTATCCATATATCCAAATATATATGTGTGTATGTGTGTGTATATCCCAGATCTACTCAGAGGAATGTAACCCATTTCTTGCCAATTAAGGACTATAAAGAGATTTTAAAATATCATTAGATGCCAGACCCAGAGAAAACAGAGGATCTCAGGTTATGTCTAAGTATTGTTTTTACAAAGTATGAGGGACCCTGCAAATATTAAATATGAGGAAGCAAATGCTGCTTTATCCCTGGAGGTAAAACAGAGGAAAGAAGGGCACATAACAATAGAGATTTCAATGTATGTGTTTCACTCAAAGTGACAATTTATTAAGAGACAAGATTCCTAACTGATAAAATAGCAAGGAGTGGGATGTGCTTTCCAACCAGATAGTTCAGTAATAGTAGGTATGTGAGGACCTGCACAATATCACAGACTAGGAGTGACTGCCAAACACCTGAGCCAGATCATGAATCACCCATAATTTTGTAGGTTTTAAGTCTCTCTAGGATTTACTATAGTGACAGGAGAAATTCTAAAATTTGTTAAGAAATTAGAAAACACAAGAATATTCCAATAATTGAATATAAAAAGATGGCCCACATTAGGTAAGAGGTGGTAAATCTGGGGAATAAGGATACACCACAGGACCCAAAGCATATGGAGGCTAATGTGCCGTGGTGACAGAAGCGGTCCTGTCCACTGAAGGCTAATCCAATCAAAGTGGGATGACTCAAACAATCTTTAGCAACACGATATTCAGAGATGCAACTTGAGGACTCTGGCTCAAAGATTTTTAGACCAGTGGTTCTCTGATGTATCTGACTATAACCTGGGAGCTTTTTCTAAGAGCACCAACACACCCAACACTACCAAATTCTTACATGCCCAGCGACCAGACAGTGATAATGTTGCAAGAGCTGTGAATTTGATTGTGTCAGAATCACCCTTTAAGGTCATTCTGATACAATCTACTTCTATTCCCATGCCCTTAAACACCAAAGGGCCACATTTGTGGGCATTTTGAGTCAAACCAAATTTTGGCCTAGAGATTTAGTTTATTCTATGCTGCAATACCATCTCAAGTTAACGACTTTCTTGGGATTCAAGAACTAAAGGATCTAATTTACAGAAACTCTTAAAAAATTATACATGGCAATTTATCTTTACAAGATACCTGAATATACTATGCTTGGTATAATAGAGAAAAAGCAGCTGAGTATCACTCCAATACTTACAGGGGCACGTGAGCCTAAGCTTGATTTGTTGGTCTCATTTATGGAGAGTTTTTCTTTTTTTGGTTATTATTCATTTTTTAAAATCATGAAATATGTCAAGCATATAGAAAAATGATGAATAATCACTGGACATCTGTAAAACTACCATCTGGCTTTCTCAAGCTTTTATAATATTCTTATCCATTTGGCATTTAATCCCTAAAAATAAAATGTGGAGAAGCTGAAAATGGAAAAAACAGGAGGAACAAGTACCCTTAAATTACTTCTTCACTTTCAAAAATCACTGTAACTTTTAGACATGAATTTATTAAATAACTGTATCATTTTTACTATCTTTCTGACATTTTGGGGGCTTTCAGTGTAATTTTCTTGCCAATATCTGAAAACCAAGGTACCCTGGCAAAAACACAGTAGTTAGATATTTAACATCTGAAATTTAGCATCCACTAAGTGTTATGTTTACAACACCTCTAGTAACTGTTCCACCTCTCCAGGCACATACTGTAATATCCTTTTAAGTTTATTTTTCTTTCTTTAGGCCATCTGTCCTTGCTGTGATCATCTCAATATGCTTCAAGGTCAGATTTTGCATGAGTTCAAATAATGGGCAGATGGAAAGAGAGGTTTGGTCATGCTTCCACGTCAAACATGTATGGGTGGCTATAAAGTACTGTAAAACCTGATTCATACTGGAAATGCTCTACATCTGACTGATAACCCCACTTTTCAAGATTAAATAGTAGAACTATTAATAAATGACAAAAAAATAGCCCTACCCTGTTATTTCAGTCACATTTTTCTGAGTTATATACTCAAGAGAATTTCTCCTTTAAAGAATTGCAATTTATGTGGAAAAGTAAATAACATTAAATCACTCATTCACTCAGCAAACACTTGTCTAGCATTATACTACTAAGTGCTGGGCCTGTGCACTGTGTTAGGTGGTCAGGTTAAGATGCCATCTCTAATTTCAAGTGACTTGGGCTATTCAAAGGTCACATCTACGTTTATGACCCCATCCATTATCCACACAACAAATATTTCTTTTGAGCCCACTACATGCCAGCCATTATTCTAGGTAATGGAGATAAAACAGTAAACAAAACAAAGTCGTCATTCTTGTAAGGCTTCCATTAAGATGAGAGGAGACAAGGAAATAAAAACATACGTCAAGCGGTGATCAAGGAAAAGCTACACAGAAACGTAAGAGTAAAAAGACAGAAGGGCAATAATCGTACACAGAATAGTGATATTCACATTCATGTCGAAGACATCTACTGAACAAACCTTTTATTTATTGGTATCTTGAAAGACACTAATCTGCCTTCACATCACAAAATGAACTGGGGCTTTCTGTCTCCATTTTCCTTCTATGCCTCCAAGCATCTGATACTACTGACTACTTCCAGTTTGAAACTCCAATGGCTTACAAATTCCTGTATAGGTGCTTATCTTTATAAGCTGCCAAGATTTCATTAAGATGTTCTCCTATCCAACCAAGGGAATAGGTTTTAATTGATGTGGAATCGGACAGCAGCTTAAGAAAAGATTTAATTTTGTTCTTAAGGCCCAAGAGTTTCCAGAAGATTATATAATATATGACATTTACTCAAAGCAACAGAGTGACAACATCAAAAACCAACACACTGCATTTTATAAAGCCCTTACAGATTTTATTTATTTAATCCTTATAAAGTGCTAAGGTAGATAGGTAACATTTCCATGTTGAAACACTTTAAATTATACTATGCATAATAAGCGCATGTGAGAAGGATTAAAGAGGAAATGACTGCTACTTTTTAAACCTTAGTAAGACAGTCTCTAGTCTATTCCATTCCAAATTCTATTCCAGACTATATTAAGATACAGTTTGAAGGTTCTGTTCCTATAACTATTTCTTAAGGAATCTATTTCATCTATTTAAGACACGATCCTAACTTTTCAGTAAAATTCTATTTAAATATCTATCCTTTGTTTTTCTTTAATATTTGAAAAATGCTTAAAAGTGTAATGAAAAACATAAGAAGTATCTGTTTTCCCAATATTCAAGATAACATCTGCTAACATTTTGGTCTATTTAACATTTCTTTCAGACCATCCCGATTAAGTTTAATAGTTTATTTGCTTCATACTAATCCTCAAATATTTATACTTTCTTAGAAATGAAGCTTGGTTTTTATTTAAAAAATAAAAAAGTAAACAGGGACAGGGGGCCAAAGAGTAATTATTATGAAATTAAGTCAAACAATTTTTATAATTTTTTACATTGTAATTTCAGAGTCACAAGTGGAAAAAGACAAAATGAAATACATTTGTTGAATAAATATTTACTGTAACTTGGGCAAAGTAAAAACTAGTAAGAAAAGATTATGTACTGTAAGGGTGGATTCTCACCTGCTCAATCTCTTTGGTTTTTGATGCTATTGCTTTAGAGCGACTGGTCAGCTGACTGTCCTCAAATAATCCAATGCCCTCTGCTGAATGTGACTCGGGCTCCTCCGGACGGTCTATGAACAGTGGGGCTGTGGGCCCGGCCTCCAGAAAGAATTAGAAAACTCAAATCACATATAGCATCTCAGATAACTGCGGAGAGACACTAACTGGCAGGTTATATCCAGAGAAAGTGCTAAATTTTAACTGTTTTAAGAAAACACTTTAATGAGCTGTGCATAATAAGCATATGGAGAAGGATTAAAGAGGAAATAATTGCTGCTTTTTAAATTTTAGGTAAAACAAAGCCTCTAGGCTTATTGCATTCCAAAATGATATTCCACATTGTATAAAAATACAGCTAGAAGTTTTTGTCCTGTATTCCTTAAGCAATCTATTTAAGAAAAACAGGACAGAGTAGCTCTAAGTGGAAGTGAGAGTATGCACACATGTAAGCAAATATATTAAAAATGAACATGGAAAAGGCTCTGCTTTCAGAAGTTAAAAATAATTTGCACCCATAGCCTAAGCATGTATGGAAATAACTGAAAACATCCACCCAAAGCAGTAACAATTACTTTTATTTCAGAGAAACAATTCCTAATGAATATATAATCCCACAGAAATCCCACAAAACCACTTTTGGTGAAAAGAAGAAAACCAAATGAATGAGGGGAAACTATTACTTAATTATGCTCACTTGTTTATTCAAAAATTCACTGTATGGCAAACAGCAGGCACTGCTCTAGAACAGCGGGCCCATCACCAATGAGCAGAATGGACACACGCTCCTGCTTTCATGCAGCTTGAAGCGAGCAAAGACTGAGGAGCAACCATTCAAGTCTGAGCGCATACATTCTACTGCTGCTTATTTTAGGTGGGTGGGAGATAAGGGAGGAAATAAGAAACCTGAATTTATTATGTTTATCAGAAACTTGGGATTTTCTTTGCATGAAGTAGGTTTAGAGAAGTCACAGGAAGTACACTAATTTTACAAGTGGTCATTTTCACGTGTAAAGGCAGTGGCAGATCACCACGTGGTGTACAGGGCGCTTATACCGCCACAACTTCTTTACAGAGTCATTGGGCAGCACTTACTACAATTTAGATGTCCCTTTTACCCAGTAATTTCACCCCTAAGAATTTAATGTACAAACACACACGTGAGCAACAGATACTAAGATATGGCTGCCATTAACAGCAAATGATGCTACAAAACCGAGGCTGCCGCTCAACATTAAGAATGAATGTTTACCAAGGAACAACCCCAGGAGCCCTCAGTCCTCCTCTCACTCGCCTTATCTTTGGTCCAGCAAAAGATGTCTGACCTATGACCCCACTTTAGAATTGCAGGGTTATTCACTTTTCGTTAAATCAAAATCCAGCAAATTCTAGACACACTTTAGGGAAACAACAAGGATGCTCATTAAAAAAAGTCCAGGCCCAATGACACTGACCGTTCAGAGTCAAGATCCACTCGAGCAATAATTAGAGCACTTGAGTTTTAAAATCTGGGAAAGGTGGACAGTAGGGTTTTTTATTAAAATTAAGAGATATAAAAAATGATGAGAGGAGAATGAATATGTCTTAATAAAACCTTAAATTACTGAACATTGAGTATTAAACAAACAAGAAATATCTTTGGAGGTTTTTCATTTTAAGTATGCTGAGAGAAATGATCAGTTCTCTAAACTTCAAAGCACAAATTATTATTAATATAAAACCATTATTCTGAATTATTTTTTAAACTAAGCAATGACCCTCTTAAAGGCATTACTGCATTGTTCACACTTTTACACAGTGCTGGAAAGGGTCCAAGACAGACAGCTTGATGCTGTTGGTACAGTTACTTGAGGATATGTACAAATATCCATTATTATAGTTCCAATAACAAGGAAACCTTGACCTATTCAAGAACAAGTGATATCTAAGTGACAGAGCAGCATCTTGAAAAAGACTCTACTTGTGTGAGTACAGATAGGAAGTGCAGGCCAGTACAACCCCTATGAGCAGAGCACATAAGCTATGTTGGGACGGGTCTTTTCACAGCATATGAATGCAGACACGTAATTTTTATATCCAGTTCCAAAGCTTGATCCATTTCATCAAAGGACCTTCTGTAAGAGGCATCCAAATACATACCGAAAAGCAGAAATCCTCAAATCTACATAATTTCTCATGGTACTGAGATTTTTATATTCTCTGCCTATCATGCCAAAGTAATTCGAGTGCCAAGTCCTGAATCTAAAAGCTTAATTTTGCTCATTGAACATAAACATTTCCCTAAAGATGTTACAGGTTACAAGGAGACTTTTCAATTTAGTTTCCAAATATTTCAGTGCAAAGAATTTGTACACAGCACTGCACGGACCCAAAAATGTCGTCATCTTTTGGCATTCAAGACTCATCTAAGGTCACAGGTAACTCGAACAATTCATAATTCCATTTCTGGGGAATTTATGAGATAATGGGCACAGAGCAGAACACAAAATATAAATATAACCTAAGATCTAAGGTCTAGACAGATTTTTATTTTGAATTCACTACTTTATGACTTGTGGCTTAGCAGGGTTTCTAGAGATACTTCACACAGCAAAGCCCATTACATGGATAATGCACCTTCCTTATGATCCGTGTTTATTTTCTTCTTCCACTTCTAAACTACTGGAGACTTTCAGATACAGTGTGATTATTGAATTCAAAGACATTCGTATTCATACTATTATTAGGTGGTAAATGAATAATCCATGAAGTTATTTTCCCCAAATATATTTTAAAATACTAGAACGAACCAAATGTTTTCCACCTATAATTTAAAATCCAGACAGAACCTTCAGATGTGCAGGGTACTGGACCCACGCCTTACCTCGTACTCAGCAATTTCCGGTAGGTCGCTCTCGTCCGTCTTCTCCAGCTTCTCTGTGGCCCACTTGCTGGCAGCCTCAGCGAGTTCCTTCTCAGTCAGCCTGCTGGGCTTGTCCAGCGCCTAATAAAAACAGGAGAACAGCGCTGTTACAATTCTCAAGTGCTTTTCAACTTCAAATACACCAAGAAGTACACCTCACTTATACTTAAAATCATTTAAGCCTTCAAATTTACATAGCGAACAAGTACATTTATTTGCTTTTTCAAAAATATTCAACACAATTTCTTTAGGGAGCGATTCTTTTAGGATATATAGACTAGATCTGATTCCTAATTTTGTTTATGTAAAACTTCACAAACTCACCTATGGAACAAAGGAAAAGACACTGACAATTAACTAATACACAGGCAGATATGAGAAAGATTGTGGGTTCAGTTCCAGACCATCACAATAAAGCAAATAGTACAACAGAGCAATCCAAGTGAATTTTCCAGTTTATCAGTGCGTGTAAAACCTATGCACTATACTGCAGCATGTCTAAAAAAAATGTATATACCTTAATTAAAAAATACTCTATTGCTAAAAAATGCTAACCATCATGAGTTTTCAGTGAGTGATAATCTTTTCATCAGTGGAGGCTCTTGCCTTGATGTTGATGGCCGCTGACAGGTCAGGGTGGTGGGTACTGAAGTGTGGGGCGGCTATGGCAATCAATTTCTTAAAATAAGACAACAAAGAAATTTGCCATGTTGATCAACTCTCCCTTTCACAAATGATTTCTCTGTAGCCTGCAATGCTATATGACAGCATTTCACCCAGAGTAGAACTTATTCCAAAATTGCAGTCGACCCTCTCAAACCCTGCCTCTGCTTGATCAACTAAGTTTACATAGTATCCTAAATTCTTTGTCATCATTTCAACGATCTTCACAGCATCTTCCCTAGGAGTAGATTCCAGCTAAAGAAATCACTTTCTTTGTTCATCCATGAGAAGCAGCTCCTCATCCATTCAAGTTTTATCCTGAGGTTACAGCAACTTAGTCCCATCTTCAGGCTCCAGGCCTGATTCTCAAGTTTCCCCCGTACCTGCAGTGACTTCCTTCACTGAAGTCCTGAACCCATCGCAGTTATCAGTGAGGACTGGAACCATCTTCGTCCAAACGCCCTTAATGCTGATATTGTGACACCTTCCCATGAATCATGAATGTTCTTAATGGCATTTCTAACAGTGAATCCTTTCCAGGTTTTCAATTTACCTGGACCCACCAAAAGAATCACTATCGATTGCAGCTATTGCAGTGAGTGATAATCTTTTCATCAGTCATTTGACGGAAGTCAAAATGACTTCTTGATCCATGGACTGCAGAATGGATGTTCGGTAGCAGGCATGAAAACACTTATCTCACTGTCCGGCTCCAGCAGGCTCCTGGGTGACCAGGTACATTGTCAGAAAGTAATACTATTTTGAAAGGAATCTTTTTTTTTCTGGGCAGAAGGTTCCAACAGTGGGCTCGAAATATTCAGAAAACTATGTTGTAAACACAAGTGCTTGTTGTTCCATGTCTACAGCACAGGCAGAGTAGAGTAAGTATAATTCTTAAGGGCCAGGATTTTCAAAAGGGACAATGAGCACTGGCTTCGACTTAAAGTCACCAGATTAGCCCCTAACAAGAGTCAGCCTGTCCTTGGAAGCTTTGAAGCCAGGCACTGACTTCTTCTCCTCTCTACCTATGGAAGTCCTAGATGGCACCTTCTTCTGATAGAAGGCTGCTTCACCTACATGGAAAACCTCCTGCTTGGTGTAGCCACCTTCATTATCTCAGCTAGATCTTGGATAACCCACTGCAGCTTCTCCATCAGCACTTGCTGCTTACCTTGCACTTTTATCTCATAGAGACAGAACCTCACGACGAACTTCCGCTAGCTTCCAACTTTTCTTCTGCAGCTTCCTCACCTCTCTGTCTTCAAGGAATTACCGGGAGCTAGGGCCTCGCTCTGGATTAGGATTCGCCTCAAAGGAATGTCATGACTGGTCTGACCTTCTCTCCAGCCCACTCAGACTTTCTCGTATCAGCAATAAGGCCATTTCGCTCTATCATTCACGTGCTCACTGGAACAGCATTTAATTTCCTTCAAGAACTTTTCCTTTGCATCCACAACTTGGCTAACTTTTTGGTGCAAGAAGCCAAGCTTCCAGCCTCTCTCAGCTTTTGACTCACCTTCCTCACTAAAATTTAGTCATTTCTAGCTTTTGATTTAAAGTGAGAGATGTACAACTCTTCCTTTCACTTAACACTTAAAAGGTCACTGTAGGGTTATTAATTGGCCCAATTTCATTATTGATATGTCTCAGGGAATATGAAGGCCCAAAAAATAGATGTGGGAGAGAGGGAGAAATGGCTGGTTGGCGGAGAAGTCAGAACACACGCAACAACATTTATCTACTAAGTTCCCCTTCTTATAAGGACATGGTTCAGTGTCCCAAAACAATCACAATAATAACAGCAAAGATCTCAGATCACAGGTCACCATAACAAATATCATAACAAAGAAAAAATGCATTACCAATGAAAAAGCGAGAATTACCAAAATGTGACACAGACATGAAGTGAGCAAATGCTATTTAAAGAATGACGCCAATACGAATTGCCTGACAAAGGGCCACCACAAACTTTCAATCTGTAAAACACATAAAGTGCAATAAAGCGAGGTACACCTATACTGATAGTGTCTGGAATATACAAGACTCCATACTGACTTCAACTCTGTAACTGTAATTATATTCAATGAAATACATAATACCAAAGTTCTATCAAGGTCAATTCCTAAGTAGTGGAACAGAAAAGTCCAGATATGCTATTTTTATAATTTGTAATATTTATATAAATCCTACTTCTTACACAAAATTTATATATTTAAATCATTTTTTGATAACATACTACTTCCCTTCTTCAACCACTTAACCACACTAAACGTGGGATTTGGAGTTAGAGACTAACCTGGGTTTGAAAGGCAGTTTCACCACCTGTGGTAGATGACTTTATATACATAATTTGAGACCCTGTAAGCCTTAGTTTCCTCATTTACAAAATAGGGAACAATAATGTTCACAGTTTTACAAAGTACTTGCAAGAATCAGGAGAGTGAGCAGACCTAAAATATCTAGTATAAAGCTTGATACTTCTTCTGTTTCTTTACCATACATTTTCATCAACTAAGCCCTACACCCCTCTTATCTCTGTTTGTATGAATCTTAAAAAAGATTCTGCAGTATTTTGACTTTCTCTGACTTATTTCACTTAGCATAATGTCCTCGAGGGCCATCCATGCTGTCACAAATGACAGGATCTTCTTTCGCATGGCTGACTAATATTCCACCATACATACATATCTTCTTTATTTAATCATCCATTAAAGTACACTTAGGTTGTTTCCATGTTTTGGCTATTTCAAATCATGCTACAATGAACATCAGAGTACAGATTATCTCTTCAAGATCCTCTTTTTATTTTCTTTGGATATACACCCTGAGGTAGGATTGCTGGATCATATGGTAGCTCTATTTTTCATTTTTTGAGGATGCTCCATACTATTTTCCATAGTAGCTGCACCAATGTACACTCCCAACAACAAAAGAACACTGCTACCTCTCTTTCTGATGGACATTCTAACAGATGTTAGATGATATCTCACTGCAGTTGCGGTTTGCATCTCCCTGATGTTCAGAGATGTTGAGCACCTTTTCATGTTACTGTTTGTCATTGGTATGTCTTCTTTGGCGAAATGTCTATTCAGGTCCTCTGCCCATTTTTTGATCATATTGTTTGACTTTTTTCCAATTCAGTTGTGTAAGTTCTTCATATATGTAGAATACTAACCCCTTTTCAGATACATAATTTGCAAATATTTTGTCCTTTCCTGAGGTTGCCCTTTCTTTTTGTTGCATAGAAGCTTTTCAGTTTGGTATAGTCCCACTTGTTTATATTTACTTTTGGTGTCAAATCCAAAATACCATTGCAAAACCGACTTTAAGAAGCTTGCCACAAAAGTTTTCTTCTAGGATTTCTATGGTTTCAGGTCTCACTTTCATGTTTTTAATCCACATTGAGTTACCTTTCATATACAGTATGAAACAGGGGTCCAGTTTCACTCTTTCGTATATGGCTACCCAGTCTTCCCAACATCATTTCTGAAGAGACTGTCCTTTCTCCACTGCATATTCTTGGCTACTCTGTTGCAAATTAATTGACCACATATACATGAGTTTATTTCAGAGGTCTCTGTTCTGTTTCATTGATTGATGTTCTTGTTTTACACCAATATGTACTGTTCCGGTTTTATAGCTTGGTAATACAGTTTGAAAATGGGAAATGTGGTACCTCCAGCTTTGTTCTTTGTCAAGATTTTTTGGCTATTTGGAATCTTGTGACGTGATTCCATTTAAATTTTAAGTTTCTTTTTCCTATTTCTGTGAAAAATTATTTTGGAATTTTGATAGAAATTACATTGAAGCTGTCAATTGATTTGGGTAGTATGCACATTTTAACAATATTAATTCTTCTAATTCAAGAGCATGGATTATCTCTCCATTTATTTGTGTCTTCTTCAATTTCTTTCATCAACATTTAGTTTTCGGTATATAGATCTTTCACATATACATTTATTCCTAAGTATTTCATTCT